TCTTGTAATCTCTGCAGAGTTTACCAGTTTCATCAACTATGTAGCATTTTTGAGGTCTGAATCAGAGCGAGATCCTTGCACGTGGAGACACCATTGGAATTATGAAAGTGATCAAAGCTGCAGTAAGGCTTACATACGACGTGGATGGATTTTTCAAGGTCTGTTTTTCTCCTCGGTCTATCCATGCATTTTTTCCGTCTTTTCAGAGAGGTTTTCTTTGTTTCCATCCCCCTTATTTACTGAAAAAGAAAGTCTCACAAAAATTAGGTATCCCATTTGGGATAATCTGCAGCGATTCACACAGAGGGAGAAGAGTGAGATTCAGCGGATAACGTTTTTTCCGAAAGCAATGAAAGCCATCAGGCTGTGTTCACACTTTGCGGCAGTGTCCACCAGCACTAATAGCGACACTAGCGTTTCGAGCGCCTTGCAGCGTCAGCGACTAGGAATAATTATCGATCTTGCGCCTGCCAGCGTCTGCCAGCTTGCGCCAGCGTCTCGAGAGCTAGGGAAGTATAGTTATGGATCTATATATCGGGATAGGAGGATAGCAGACAGCTGGTAGAGTATGGAGAGATAAAGGGTGGCAGACTGCTAATAGAGAGTATTGCGCGATAGGAGGACAGCAGACAGCTGATACGCTCTTATTGCACCATACTCTTTAGCAGCATTCTGCTGCTGGTCGCTAGTGGGCGCTAGTAGACGCTGGCAGACGCTAGATGGATATCTGTATTTTCCTAGTCACTGACGCTGCCGGACGCTCGGAACGCGGGTGGACGCTGCCGCAAACGAAGAAGGCAGCCTTACGATCTTCGGTGAAAGTCGGCTACATGTCGCAACTCAGAACAAATATTATTGGAAAAAAATAACCATTCATAGATCAAATCAAAAACTTAATTGCAGTTGGCATTTGAAGAACTGGGCGAGTTGCCTTCACGGAATATTCTGCGGTCAAAACAAATGAGCTATCTCGAACAACTCAATCTGAAGCTGAGCCAAAGGCAGCAACTTCGCAGCATCCATTCATCCAGTGTTCGGCTTTGTAGATACTGTATACCGTCAATGTTTTCTGTACTTGCAACACCTATCGTTACTTACTACATATCATATGATCTTCTAGGGCAGCGAAGTCTCATCTGAAGGATGTGACTTTTCAATATCTGACGTGTTCTTTAGTGAGTACGACTCATCCTTGTGTAAGTTATGTCATGCTTTAGTAATACTGACGTACATTAGCAGCAATACGTTTAGGCTATGTGATTGCTGGAAATCAAAATCATGGCCATATTGGAGTGATTCTCATAGAGAACGGTAAAGCCACAATGAATCTGATGGACACAGAGGTATACAAACTTCCAGTCCTCTTATATAGACTGGCTACAAAATGATTACTGTGGCAGAGAAAGGTTCCCAAAAAACAAAAATGAAGATCAGCAGTTAGTAGAAGCGCCCAGAACCCAACCGCACGGCGACATTGTGCGGTCGCTTTAACGGAACAAGCCGAGTTAGTTCGACATTGCACTTCTGCTTTTAGCCGAATGAGGGACTCGACGAGGAGAAGGGCCCTCTAGCGACTCTCGCCACAGAGCCAGCGAGGAGTACGTTTTGAAGCGACATGAGAACAAAATCTTTTCGGGATCACTTAACCGTGGCGCGCAGATACGCAGCACAGTACACCTACTAGGGTAAGGAGGAAATTAGCGGGTCGTATTTCCGAAAACTCTCCCCAGCGGTAGGACGTGCTGTGGGCTGTGAACGGTCTTATCCGCCGCAGATGATGGGGCGTGTCGGCGTGGCTGCGCTTAGAGCAGCGCCATCCCCCTTTTTTCCTTTTTTCTTTCGGCAGACGACAGAACTGTATCATATCGTTCGCATCAGCTCTTTTTCCACCAGTTGTTATCACTTACACTCTTTAACAATGCAGGAGGACGGGCTGGCGGCCTGCCAAATCCGGCCTCACTGACACATTTCCATCCACTGCGATCAGAACTGGCATGCGGAAATCGCATCGAATGTAGACATGGTTGGCCTCATGTCTGCAATTCGACTGCGATTTTTCTCAGCGCTCTTGTTACCTAATTCTTGTTAGCTTTACACGTTTGTACTACTCTGCACTGCTATGTCTACCGAATATTCTTCCAGTTTGACTGCCGCGTCTGCTCGTTCGTCTTGGTGCGAGAAGATATGGCGTTTGCTGGTCTAATCTCAGGATATATCATAGCCTTACACCTTCAAGACGTCGAGGGGTAAGGTCGCAAAACTGACTGCATTTAGTTTTGTTATTCAACTCAATTTTTAGTGTCTGTGGACATAGACGGAACACGTGTCTTATTAATAGCGTCAGGGAAATCGATCACGATTCTTTGCAGATACATATTGTGGGAATTGAAGTTACCAGATGCCCCACTACGGCTTCATTGTGCTGATGGGAGATTGTTTGCTGCTCTTGCTAACGGGACGCTTACTGTATTGGAGGTCAAGTTTTTTTTGTATCACTACCCAGGCGAAGGAATTGAAATGTGTTGATTATTTTCTTCTTGGAACATAAGAAAAAGTTGAAACAAGTCATTTCAGAACATAACAGAATGGTCTCCGACGTGTTTAGAGCTACTTCACATCCCCCTAGGACCTGCTCCACTGGTAGACGTGCTCTCTGATGGAGGAGAAATTTGTATAGCAACTGCTTGTAGATTAATTCGAGTGGATGCTAGGTGCGGTTTCAGCAGGTTTAAGAACATGGTGTGGCGACTAGTTCACTCTACCTGAAGATTTAAGCTGAATTATGTTGTCTATATTGCAGTACTCTCACAACAGTATCGACAACGTACGTGGCATGTTCAAGTGCGGGAGGTAGCACCCCCTTTTTTGACAAGGTAAACTCACAAATTTCTCGAATTTAATTTGAGTGAGAAACATGAGTCTCGCTACCCACGCAGATTTCGTGTTTGGCTGCATCACCACTAGGGATCTTCCTATGTACGTCGAATTCCACTTTGTTACAATTGTGGTCCCACGGAGATTGTCAGCTACTCTTCGATATCGCCTTCGATCACAGGAGAAGGTAAGCAGCACTCAGTCTTAAGAGACTCGGAGAACAACTCATTTTTTTATTGACTGGGAGTAAGTAGGGGTGACCTCTCCTTTTTCTCTTGGCGTTCATACTTTGCGGCAGCGTCCACCAGCATCTACCAGCGTCCACCAGCGATCACTAGGCTTCCGAGCGTCCGGCAGCGTCAACGGCTAGGAAAAGATAGATATCGATTTAGCGTCTCTCAGTGTCTACCAGCGTCCACAAGCGTTGATCAGCATTCCGAGACTACACTGCACATTAACTTGCACAATTCTGGGCTTTAGCAGTTGTGCGATGCGGCTGCACACGCCGTGATTTCACGACGCCTAATTCAGCTGATCGCTATCTGAGTACTTCCCCACACTTTCTACTCTCTGTCGCTGGTAAATGCTGGTGGACGCTGGCAGACGCTAGATCGACACCTATACTTCCCTAGCCCTCGAGACGCTGGCAGACACTAAATCGATTCTATACTTTCCTGGTCGCTGACGCTTCCGGACGCTCGGAACGATAGGGGTCGCTGGTGAATGCTGGTAGACTGGCCGCTGCCCGAAGTAGAAAAACAGGTTTATTCATGTCCGGCAAGGCTAACCCGGAGCGTGGAATTTTCGTTTAGATAGCACTTAGTAAGATCCTACGAGAACATGTTATGCGGAGCCTTTAACGGTGTCTAGGAATGGGGTCTTTTTCCTGACTTTCAAGATTTTTTTTGTTGGTCTTGCGATTCAAACCGAGTATTTCATAATTAATTATAGATGGGCCGATTTGAAGGTTCCAGAGCCTCGATTGGCTTAGACATAGTTGTTTCTGTAGACCGTCCAGATGCCATGATGCGCGTCTACTTATTGCCCTTATGCTTCTAAACTGCGCATTGGTCTGACAGTGATTTTTGCAGAAACTAATTCCGGATGACAAATTCAACTACTTTCAGATCATCTGGATCATCAATATCGGAAGATGAAAACTGCTTCTTTGTTTCGTGCTTAACATATTTTGATGATATGATCTGGACAGGGACTTCAGATGGATACGTCATAATATACTCAATTGATCAAAATGCGAATGAAAATGCTCCGAAGTATAACCTGAAAAAGTACGATTCTTCACTTGTTTGCTTCCCAACACGCTCTTATTGTCATCTTCATGTAAAGATGAACTCGCATAACTCACTTTTTTTTAGGTATCCATCGGGACGTCGACTGTCACCTGAAGGAGGTTGTGGTGAAGTGAATCGATCTCAAATGTGCTATATCCCAACAGATGAGGAAGCAAGAGGGGAGGAAATAATGTCTCTAGCTGAAGGAGCTGTTCGAAGACCAAGTCGTGTATCTATAAGCATAGATGTCGGCACTCAGCAATATAGCGGTAGGTCGAAGTTCCAAATGAACTCACTTGAAAACATTTTTCTCTGATCGACTTCAAAGGGAATTCGAGGCTGCGTTCATGTTTTGGTGCACCGTACACTAGCGATCAATGGCGTCCACCAGCGTTCCGAGCGCACGGCTAGGTGAACGACTAGAAATGTATAGATATCGATCCAGCGCCTGTCAGCGTCTCCCAGCGTCTACCAGCAGTTCGCTTCTAGTCGCTGGTGGACTCTGGTAGATGCTGGCAGGCTCTGGCAGACGCCACTTTGATACCTACCACTCCCTTGCCCTCGAGAAGCTCGAAAACGCTGGTGGCCGCAAAGTATGAACGCATACTCACGTTTCCTCAGGCCTACGAGTCTGCAGTCTCAGCTCGTGAACTATACTTCATTACCATCAGCGAAAGTTCCCCGATTAGCAGTTAGGTTCAGTGACTCGACGGTGAGGGCAACAGAGCGAAACGGCTGGAAGCACAAAACGAAGTTTCCTGACTGGATGAGTTCACCAGACCTTCTGGGGTTGGAAAAGAGAAAAATTGCAAGTGCAGCTTGACTGCCTGCGCAGCAGCCGTATGAAAAGGACGACCTCAAAAGATGGTCTTACAGTAGCAGCAAGCATTTACATAATTGTGATCTGACGAATACAGTAATTTAAAGATCAAAGATCTTGCTTTACTTGCCAGTCACTCAGCGATGCTTCACTCATGTCCCTCAAATGTGGAGCTTTCAGTGTTCCGAAAAATGCTAGAACGCATGGAGGAAAATAGTCAGGATTGTGACGAGAGTGCATGTTGTAATGGAGATGGATGTACAAGAAGTAGGAATGACGCATTGGAGAGGAAGATTTCGGAGAGGCCTCTGTATCTGAACCACTACTCCAGGTTTATTTATTTGTTTGAGATTTATTCGGGAGTTTTTTAGGCTGCGTTCATACTTCGCAGCAGCGTCCACCACCGCTCAGTGTTATGTGACTCCAGCAGCGTCAGCTGCGAAAGTATAGATATTGATTGAATGTCTGCCAGCGTCCACCAGCGACCCAGAGTAGAGAGTATGGGGACGTAGGAGGGTAGCAAACAGCTGAATTACGCGTCGTGAAAATGAAGTGCAACCACACCGTGCAACTATCAGGTTTGCGAGAAACTCTGTCACATTTTTCAAATTAGATTTCCTTTTTGTAGAGAGGCGTGTGTGATCAAAATTGTACAGCAATGTCACCGCGGGGTTCTTGCCAGTGTTTGAGCACCTCATGGATGCCACCGCTTCACAGTGCAGGAAGGCGCGACGCAAAGTTGGACACTATCTCAATCTTGACTTGAACTCGGGTTATGGAGGTTTTCTCGTCCACATCGCGATTGAGTACGGGAGGCAACTTGCAGAAGGAAGGAAAGGAGAACACGAGGAAAGGAGTCAGAAGGAGCAATGCTTGTGCTGTACCAGTGCAAGGGGAGAGCCATCCATCTCTATTGCATGAGGTACAGCTCGAATTTTTTGCACGGAATGCGCTGCACTATTATGATGAGGGCGGGCTGTGCGGAAAACTTTTTCCGTCTGATCAACGGTACGCTTCAGATTAGTAGCTGCTTTGTGTATTCATTGACCGAGGAAGCAGCTTAGTCATCCAGCAGTTTCACGACCCGCAGCTCCCTCAATCTGAGTTCGCAGGCAACCCCAACCTCACTTCGTCATCAAAACTGTAGACTCCCGCTTTGAGGCATTAGCGCCGTGGAAGGTTGTTCGATAATTGAGGGCATCGTCCTCATTCAGCTCCATTATTTTTGGCATCTGCAGCTATCATGCTGGCGTCAGGGTGGTAGAAGAAAGAGTTCGAGGAAGCGCTTGGAGGGATCGGTGCCGATAAAATAGTGGTAGCGGATAAAATTCTTGTCCGTATCGCAGAAGAAGAAGCAGGAGTCAAGCGAATGGTACTAGTGGAAGGACCACTGCTTGATGTATAAGAGCTCACATTACCGGTTGCCCGTCTTCAGGTAATGGGCAAGTATGTTCAGTTCGAAAAAGTGTGACAGAACTTTCCTGCCAACCTTATACACTACACCGTGCACTAAATTGCATGATTCTGTGCTTTAGCCGTTGTGCGGTGCGGTCGCATACGCCGCAATTACACCACGCCTATTCCACTGTTTGCCACTCTCCTACTTCCTCATACTCTCGGTCGCTGGTCGACGCTGGCAGACGCTACATCAATACCTATACTCCCTAGCCCTCGAGACACTGGCGGATGCTGGTGGACGCTGGCATTCGACGTGCTGCCGAAATTGGCTTGCCCTGCCGCGGATCAGCTGCATGCCAAACCGTAACAGACGCGCTTCTTGTCTGCACCTTCTCTCTTATTGTTGTTCTCTACCTGACCGCGTATCAGTTGCGCAATTTTGCGATTTTGGTATCTACGTATTTACTACTCCTTGTGGATAGAATGGGCTGATTCCCAAACAGCACCCCAGGTTTCACTACACTTCAGCCTTATTTCCGTACGTATCAGATGACGCAGGTGATGCTCATGTACAGAGTTCTGTGTTTCAGTTGCTCGCCAAGAGCTCACAGTGCCCCAGTATGCGACCATAATGGTGTAAGCACAAACTCTGATGCGTCTCTCTTTACATCAGGTACAATGTCTCTTATGGTTTGAACTATTTTTAACCCAGATGCTTCCAGAGTACACAGGAGCCAAGAGGAAGATCTGTCGACGGATAAAAGAGATGAAGAGGATGAAGCCAATAAGGTTTCGGGCAGTTATGATTTCGATTTGATGCGAATTCTATGAATCCATCGTTTTGTTCAGGTCGCCAATAACGTCCAGTAGTAATGTGTCAATGGAATATGACGACTTATTCGAGATGTATTCTGACGAGGGTTAAGTTTCTATAGCTTTGCTTAGGATGCGTTCATACTTTGCGGCAGCGTCCACCAGCGACAATGGCGTCCACCAGCGTTCTGAGTGTCCCAGCGTCAGCAACTAGGAAAGTGTAGATATCGATCTAGCGTCAGCCAGGTCCTCTAGCGTCTACCAGCGCTCAAGGGCTAGATAAGTATAGGTATTGATCTAGCGTCTGCCAACATCTGAGAGAGGAGTATGGCGCGATAGGAGGGTGGCAGACAGCTGGTACCATCTTTTGCGCCACACTCTCCACCACAGTCTGCCGCTCTCCTAAATCCCCATACTCCACCAGCTGTCTGCTACCCGCGCCATGCTTTCCTCTCCTGGAGGCTGGCAGGCGCTGGTGGACGCTGGTGAATGCTGGCAGACGCTCGATTATCTACTTTCCTGGTCGCTAACGCGGCCAAACCCTCGGATCGCTGGTGGACGCTATTGGTCGTTGGTGGACGCTGCCGCAAAGTATGAACGCATCCTTAGGTTGGAGAGTGTGTGGAGACCAGGGGAGCTCACCGGTGCCTGCTGTGTAACATCAGCGGGTCCGCGCAGTGAACAGGCCAGTTAAAGCCAGCTCTCCAATTAGGGCTAAGCGTGCGTCACGCAGTCCGCGGCGAGTGGTTCGTATGTTCACGCACGGTGAATGTCAGTAGTGAACAGTAAAGGCAACGTCTGCGTTGAATGGGAGGTACTCTAAGTGATTTTACCGTGGGGCGCTCTTTCTCCACCGAATGGTCGTGAGCGACTTTATGAAAGATTAGTTTATATAAGTGAAGCTACATCTGTAAGTTACAAGTCTGTCCAAATACGATAAAAAGCCCATAAGCTGTTTCAGAATGGTATTCCGCTGGCCAGCCTGTCTTTAAACGTCACTACATTCCTGAATGTAAGCTCATTGTCAGTTCCTGCGCATCTCACCATCAAGCGGAGTTGTATTGACGATTACTGCTTTAGCTAACCACTACCAGAAGATGCCTTTTAGAAGTAGAAGATCCCTCTGAAGTTTCTGATAGGAATTATGGGCGATGGCGTCTAGGAGCCACTTTTTGCGAGGTGATTCAATAATCAGCTAGCCCCTTGAAAACATTCTGCGTATGGGAAGAAAATTCACTGGATTCACTGAGCATGTAAGTAAGGCTGCGTTCGTGCTTTGTGGCAGCGTCCTCCAGCGTTTACCAGCGTCCACAAGCGGCTCGAGGGCTAGCTAAGTGTAGGTGTCGGTCCAGTGTCTGCTAGCGTCTACCAAGTACCGCCAGCAGACTGCTGGTAGAGAGTATGGTGCAATAGGAGAATACCATGGGTCTGTTACCCTCCTTTCGCGCCATACTCTCTACCAGTAGTTTGCCTCTCCCATCTCCCCAAACTCTGCCACCTGTCTGCTACCCTCCTATCGTGCCTTACTTTACCAGCAGTCCGCTACCCTCTAATCTAATCATGCTCTGCTGCTGTCTGGTACCTTCCTGTTGCGCCATACTCTCCACACTTGGACGCTGGCAGACCCTAGATCAATATTTATACTTCCCTAGCTCTCGAGACGCTGGCGGACGCTGGTAGACGCTGGTGGCAGACGCCAGTTCTATACCTACAGGGGCCAAAAAAACGCTTCCCTTCCTCGGCTTTCAAGGCTGTATAAATTACACGCTATTAAATTCTGTTTAGACATTTACACCATCATTTTCAACAACGCATCGTACACAATCACGATACTCCGCCACAGCCTTCTGGACGAGCATCATTGAGAGATTCCGTCACGCGACCGTGATCTGATGCTTGAGTTCAGCGAAGCCGTTGATTGCTCCGCCACTGTAGACCACCCTGTTAAGTTCCGCCCGAACCCGGTCGATGGCTTTTGAGTCAGACACACTTGATATCCCGTCTTCTTCAGGTTCTCAACGCCCTCCCATTCCATGTGCTGGCACCCAATCCTGTAACAGTACGGAGTTTCCAAGATGGTACGGGCGGCAACGTAAAGGCAGGATATACTCCTCGCATCGGCCCATGTAACCGTCAGCGTTCACTTTCACTCCAGGGTCTAGAAGGGGAAAACGGTCATCCCATTCCAGGAATTTCCGGTCCATACCATCAACCCGCGCCTTGGCGGCTGTTGTGAAGATGTTCTCGACCGTGGCGACGTTGCCGGAGCTGCTCGATGTTTGAGGTCTTGCAGATCAAGAGTACTGGTCTCCAGGTAGCTATCCGTGGGTGATTCCATTCAAGAAGTTCCGCAGCTCTTTGGAGTTGACGTGAATTCCACGTGCCTTCTCCAGTCAGTCTGCGATTGGAAATGGCTTCATATTTTTGTGTAGATGAAGGTGATGGACGAGGGCCTGCTCCTGCTTATCGAGGATCATCTTGGGTATCTTCCGCCTGGTACTCGTATCCACTTCTTGTGTCTGGGATGCCGATATCTGACTCGAGAAAGGGTCTTCTTTTGCCTCTCCCCCTTTCCCTCCCCCCTCCCAGCTTCAGTATACTTTATTCGCTGACTCTGCCGCACGCTCGGGACGCTGATGGACGTTGCCGCTAAGGATGAATGTAGCCTAAAAATGGCACGATGGTGCGAATATTAATGTAATGTGACGTACTCGCTCCAATAGTGGTTGGAAATAGTTTAATGGGAACACGTGGTCGTTGATGTACCGAGCCTTTTAACTGCATCCAGAGACACTTTTCGCTTGAAGGCAGTTGGTACGACGGTTTCCTACTTAGCCTGAAATGCTAGCAGGGCGCTGTATAGTGGGGGAAATGGCGAAAGAACGGAGTGAAACGGTCAAAATCCTGCGAAGAAAAAGCCTCCGTTTTCAGTGACTTGAAAATCGATTTCGGACGAGTGTTCCGTAGGCATCCTGCCAATCACCGCTACCGAAGATACGGCTGCATATGTGTACCCATATATGCATGCAGCAGCATCACGGCCGCTTCATACCAATCCCTTCGCTTCACAATTTGCTTAGCAAATGAATGAATAGGAACCGTCGTCCATTTGTGGGCGGGCGGGCATGGCGGGCGGTTTGGGATGTAATGTTGTGGCTTGACAGGGCCGTCATAGGGGCATTTTCCTCGGGAAAACCGCTATGCAGCGCCTGCCCAGGGTCGCGGAATTCTATCCTGCCAGGAGTATTGATCCTAGTCGTCTTGGGGGATTTATCGTGCCAACTGCCTTTAACCAGTCGTCTTACCAGTACTGACAGTATTACGGCGAACGCGTTTGGTAAGTCTGTGTTGTACGGCTTTTTCCTCTATCAAACGCTCACACACCTCTCCGCAATCGCTCTAATAATGGCTGGAAGTAGTTTAATGGGAGCACACGGTCGTTAATGTACCGAGCCTTTTGACTCCAACCAGAGACATATTTTTGTGTGCATTTTTTGTGTCGTGCAGTGCTCAATACATCTTGTTATAGATTATAATCGCAACTACACGTTGAACCCGATCACTGCAATTTCATCGACGACAAAATTAGGTAAGTGTTTCGATTTATGTAGTGGTTATATTGCACAAAAGTATACCTCGCCTTCATGTAATTAAGGGAGTGAGTCAAATTGTTCCCGTGTAAATCCTCTCCGGCGTAAGGACCTCGATTTTGATGATCCCGTTGTGTTGGCAATACCAGGTACAGCAGTCATCACAGCTTTCAGTTTTCAGTTTCCTACACGAAAATTGCGCACTTTGGCTTTGTGGAGATGCCAAATGCTGAAGCTTGTACCTTGTGAGTGAAGGCCTTCACTTTCTTGTGGCCAAATTGGCTCATATGTACACTGTAAGTCACTGGGGAGGGAGGGGGGGGGGGCGGCGGCTGTGTTTTTCTTGGCGCCAGCAAGTTCCTCACCACTTGTGGTCGCCTGCTAGCCTCCACAATCGCTGGAGCCAACTATGGGGCACCCTCTGAAAGGCCCAGCATTTGTAGCTAGCAACACTTTACAAATCAATTCACAGGATCTGAAAAAAGAAATCAACGGAATAGCTCCGAAATTTCTTTCATTTTAACGTGATCGCAAGCAAAATTTGATCTAGTCGTCGCGCTAGAAATGCTCTGTCAAGTCTAAAAAGGGAACACACCTAAGCGCATGTGCCATTTAAAGACAGCCCCCGCGATCAAAGTGGCTCGTGTCGCCTTGCTGTGCAAGTAGTCTAGCCTCCAAGCTAGAAGACTGTTCACCTTTCGCGACTCTATTGTGAGCGTGGAGGCTGCTATAGCCGCTCAAAGTGCTAGTTCTAACACCTCCTCAGTCGGACCGCGCTTTACTTGCTAGATGTCCTTCGACGGAGGCCACTCACTTGTTCTTAGTTGGGGCGGCGGGCATTGCTAATGCCCCTGGATAATTCTGCTCTCCTTCATTACAGTTTACTCATTGGAGGTATATACATTCAACTCAACCCATTTCGCGAGGTGAAATGCGTAAAAAACACGAGTGACGCAATTTTCGTGATGCAAAACCTCGACGCACAAAACGTGCGCTACCGTAATCACAAATTCAGACACCGTGTTGATAAAATTCCTTTTTCCTTCCCAGAGTTTTTCCTCTGCGTTTTGTTGTTTTCTTTTTGTATTCTTTTTTTAGGCATACAACTACTGCGAGATGTGATAGAGAGACTTGTGAGCTAGGGCTGCCAGAGACCGCAGGAGGTGTAACTGTGAGGGAGCGATTTTGTTTATGTTGTTCTGGAGATCGCTTCTTGCCTGTTTTCTTCTTTGGGAGATTACTTATCAGCTGCTGTTTCATAACTGGAAAGCAGCTATCCATGAGACTTTTATCGCGGGAGCTGTCTTAAGGCGGCGTAGGCTTTCTTGCTGACTCTCGGCCATCCGGAACGCATACTTCAGCCCTTACCTTCGTTTAAAGATCATCCTCCCATGGACTCATCACTTAAGTTTGAAATCACGCGATGATGAGTGTGTGGCCAGGCACGTCGTAAGTTGAGATCGCTAGAGAGAGGGGCTCCTGTTGGGTCGCTGGAAGAAGGGGGTCGCATCTTCAAGGAGAATATTTGCTGTAGTTGACTTTTCTTCGTCTTTCTTGCTTCAATAGATGTTTTACACCCCACCCCCCCCCTCCCACCGTTCCTCCTCTTCCGCTCGACGATGTTATTTGGGGTAAAAGGTAGTGGGTTATCGGAAAGGGGGGGGGGACGTAGGGGAAATCTGAGAAGATGGTAGGTAGGAAGACAGTGTTTTGCAGAAAATTATCTAACGGCAGGAGCTTACCGTGCGTTCGTTGCGGAGGTCGAATTCCGGATCGGCTCTCTCCCGGGTCTAGCGAGCCGCCTAACCTTCGGGGAGGTGAATTGGTACCAGATTCGTTTGGGAGGACAAAATCACTGACTTCTACTCGGGTGGCCTCCTAGTGACCCATCTAGAGAGCCTCCTCTTGAGTTAACAGGTTCTACCATAATGACTCGACGAACTTGCTCCAACTCACCGGTCTCACCAGAGCGAGTTGTAAACCGGAACTAGTGAAATAGCGAGAACGCAAAGCCGCGCTCCCTTCATTTCGTCGCTGAGCTGCGCCAGTGAATGCGTGCAGCATATCAGAAGGGACTGAACTGCGGCGAATGTTTCATCGTTTAATCCTTTATTTTGCAGAATTGTCGAAAGATAATCAAGAATCAGCTTCGCCAGTTTCTGAACAGAGTGAAGGAAATCCTCAAGAAGAATTCCGAGAAGTGTAAGTATAAATGAAAGTAGTAAGCGTAAGCTTCTTTTCGCTTAGCATTGAACATTAGAAGGCATAAAAGAAACCGTTGAGGCATCTACAATCCTCTCATTACGGACTGTCGGGGCGTGCCAGTGCGGCTGCGTTTGGCGCGGTGCCGAAGTCGTTCTGCAGCAATTGTTGAAGCGGGCAATTGACATTACTGTATTATACCCTTACTCGTTTTCTACCACTTTTTGTCGCATACGCGTTTCAACAAAAAGTCTGAGAACGGCTCAACAGTGTGCGCACTCCTACTGGCTGACACGCCCCGACAGTCCGTAATGATGAGTACAGTACATACCCTTATAGCAAACTCCTATCTTTTGAATTAGGGATAGCTCCCAGTTGAAGGCTTGCATAATTTCTTCTTGAGTCACTATCACTATTGCCTATGTAGTGGAGTCTAAGTGCGATCTTTCTAATGCTGAATAACTCACTAGTTGTGAAAAACAGAAAACACCATCGAAATCGCGCCGGATGAGTGCAAACCCCTCACTTGCAGAAATTCAAGCTTCGGTCTTACTCTCGTTATGAAATTGAAGATTGCTGACAGGCCTGTAAAGAAAATGGCTACCACAAGGTAATATAAACTTCAGGATATTAATCAAGTACTTATTATAACAATTTCCAGAATTGGAGATGATGACTTGTTATTGACTTGTGCAGGGACGTTTTCAGAAGAAGAGTCTTTGTTGCTATGGCATAAAGAGCCGATATCGGTATGAAATCAAAGAATCGTTCAATCTATCTTCGCTGCTTCTCAAAATATTATGATAATTAACTTGTAGTAATAGTCATAATTAAGGCGTCACAAGTTTCTATTTTTCTTGATTTTCAGCGTTAGTTTTATACTCATTTGACATAGACCAACCGGCATTTCGTTCTCATCAGACGAACTAGCATATACAGGGGGGGGGGCAAAAAAAAGTCATTTTGCCTCCATGACTTTCAAGGCGCTATAAGTTACACTTTATTAATTTTTTTTATCGGACATTTTTACTACCATATTAAAGAGCACATTAAATACTATCATGATTATCCACCACAGCCTTCTGGAGGAGCGCCATCGAGAGATTCGGCCGCGCGAAGTGAGTGGGTACCGGAGTTGAGCGAGATCGTTGATTTCTCCGCCACTGTAGACTGTTGAGCTCCGCCCGAACCGAGTAATTGAGGGGGTTCAGTTCAGAACCCCGCTTGAATACTCCATCTTTTCCAGGTACTCAACGTTCTTCCATTCCAAGTAGGCGAAAGTTTTTCCAACGCCTTTCGATTTCATGTGGTGGCTCTCAAGTGCTGCAGGCAGTACAAAGTTTCCAAGAAGGTACGGGCGCCGACATGAAGATGGGAAAACTTCGCTCATATGTGACTCGGCAGGAATGACTTTTTTTTGCCCCCCCCCCCTGTATGTTCCATTTTCGAGCCGAGTGGAACTCAAGAGCAACCTTGGATTGTGCCTTTTGCCGGTTTGGCTAAGACGAGGTCTGGTTTTCCATAAGCGGGAACGTCCAGTCCCTCCATGAATACATAAGAAACCTGGATTCGCGACCTCGAGAAACTGCCATTTTAACCGTCTGGACGTGCGCATGAAAGGGACTGCAGCCTCATCACCTAGGCTGGTGTGGCTGTATTCATACTTTGCAGCAGCGTCCACAAGCGACCAATAGCGTCCACCAGCGTTTTGAGGTCTAGGGAAGAAAAGGTTTCGATCTAGCATCTGCCTTCGTCTGCCATCGTCCACCAGCGTCTAGCAGCATCTGCTGGTAGAGAGTATGGTGCGACTGGAGGGTATCAGCTGTGTGCTAGGCAGACTTCGATCGACATCTATACGTCGCTGACGCTGTCGTGCGCTCGGAACGCTGGTGGACGCTGCCGCAATGTATGGATGAAACATATGCTCATGCGGGCCCATGCTACCCGTGTCGCCGTTTATGCCGCTGTGCTTTTCCCCCTCCGTTTCAAGGTCCTGCGCTTTCCAGTGTATCATAGCCCTTTCACGTATTGCATCTTGACCATATCGTGCTCGTCCTGTAAGCATAATCGACTGCTAGAAGGAGGACCTCATTGAGGCAGTTGTTCTGCGGTTTGCTCTTCAGTACTAAGCCAATGGTACTCATTGTTTTGTTTTCAGCTTTATTACCTACGTCTTGTGAGCGCAGTAGCTATGACTTTTCCAGGCCAAACAGCATTTGAAAAGAAACGAAAACGTTCTTATTACAGTATACCCGTTTTCCACTGTCATTTACAAAGTTCTGGTATCTAACAACGAACTAGTTGGAAATTTGCAGCACTGTGTCCCGCTACTGCCCCGATCATCCAGAATCATGCCACTTTTTAACCGACCTCTTTATCCGTGGGCAGACGGCTTAAATATTGTCTTATGAGGTAGTTTGACCTCCTGAACACGATATCACATTCGCTTAGCCCAAACCTCTCGGCGCCCGCGCCACAGGCACTGGCCTCAAAATAACCTTGGTCACCAAATTCGCTGAAAACTCGTTCCCAGGAGCAGCTCGACTCCTAAGCAAGTATATCACATTCGTTCAGTCTCAAAACACCTGACGCATACGTCACAAGCGACTCCTCACATGCTTGTTTGGACTCCGGCGCGTGTAGCACAGACTCCAGTCGCTTTCGTGCGTAGCGGTGTGCTAGGCAGATAGGCAAATGGAGAAGAAAAGCAGCACTCTCCTTGTGATAGTGATCACTCCCTTCACCAAAACTCACTCTCAAAAAGGAAGGGATCACCATCTCGGGTTAAGGATGCAAACGAGCAGAAGCAGGTTCCGCTATCCGTGTATCCCTTTTAGTCCATCCTGAACATTCTCAAGTGAGATTCCTGCTCCTCAGAAGGTCAAACTTCTCCAGGTGACAAGTTCTCAGCGCTTTTGGTGATTTCAAGTATTTTGGAGCTGAAACCTGAGGCGCCATTCGAGCTAAGCGGATGTGATACTCGTGTTCTGCAGCTCAAACTATCCCCGTCGGCAATTTTTAGCCAGTTCTGCCCACGAAGAAAAAAGTCGGTCAAAAACCCTGATTTTGGATGTTTGGGGCAGTAAATGGTAAAAAGCGCCAAATTCGCTAAAGTTCGTAAAAATATGCATGTGTACTTGTTAATTTACTTAAGGGCCTATGGATAAACGATCCGATTCCGCCGCTACCCATTCAGGATCCAAGTTAACTGACAATGGTCGCGGAGATGTTTCGAATTTCATTAAGTAGTGAGTAGTGATGAAGTAGTACTCGATGACTCCTTCGTGACCATACATTACCTTCTACGTGCCTTGAATGTGTTAATACTCAGTAAATGGAATGTAAATATGTATTGTAGTTACTTGTTGTCTTGATATTACAATCAAGCGTTGTTCTTCACATAGCTTCAGAAGTCGATGCAAACAATACTGTAAGAATTCATGGGTAATTTTAATGACCCATCGACCACTACCGATGTAACAATTAATCTGTATGACATTTGAATTTCAGTCAACCCAAGAATTTTATCCATTTTTTTCAGATGAAGAGTTACTGTTTTATTCTTATACGAGGTTTATTAGTTCTACCGCTGAAGTACCTGGTGATGCTCAAATGCGGCAACTTATTTTATTCTTTACAGATTCGTTTCCTGAATTTATGTCATTTGTAGGCCAAAAGTCCCTTCATTAATGAAGTCGTTGAAATCTGAATGGTGTCACTGGCTCATCCAAAAAAAAACACTTCGCACACAAGTCAGAAACAGAGCTTTGAAAGAGTATGATCCCTGAGATCGAATGTATATCGATCCTGCACATCCACGTACCCATTGGTCATGCCAAAACTCTCAAGGTTTTTGCTTCGTGACAAAACTCAGCGTGAGCGCCAAGAAGCTGAGGGATGACAAGGCCTTATGTAATTGAATGATAACTGATGATTCCCTTTGGAGCGCCACCTATTTCGCTTCCATTCAGCACAGCGGAGGCTTGAAAACGTTCAGTACGGGAAAGGCATATGAAAGGAATCTAAGGCTGCGTCCACCAGCGTCTCCCAGCGTCCGGAAGCGCCAGCGATCAGGAAAATATAGGTATCGATCTAGCGTCCACCACCGGCTACCGGGAGTAGAGAGTATGGGGAAGTAGTAGGCGAGCAAACAGATGGATCACGCGTCGTGAAGTTGTGGCGTGTGCAACCGCAGCAACGTACAACTACACTACAACGTACATAAGGTTGCATAATTCTGTGCTTCAGGGGATGGGCGGTGTGGTTGCACATACCGCAATTTCACGACGTCTAATCCAGTTGTTTGCTACCCTCATACTTCCCTGTACTCTCTACTCCCGGTCGCTAGTGAACGCTGTTCGACGTTGGTAGACGCCACCTGTACTTCCCTAGCCCTCGAGATGCTGCAGGCAGTGATGAACGCTAGCAGACGCTAGCAAACGCTCAATCGTTGCAGTTACTTTCCTATTCGCTGACGCTGCCGGACGCTCGGAACGCCTTTTCACGCTGGTAGCGCTGTCGCGAAGTATATGCACCTGATTCATCATCGCCAGCTTCAACTCAGGTCCTGACGACAAAAAGAAAAGACAGGGCGGAATCGCCATATGTGGTAGCGAACAGGAGTGGACGTGGATGGCGCAGCCAGAGGTCCTTCTTTATGGAAGTATAGAGAGACGCTGCAAAACTCATTCTTTCCGTATGTAATGAAAGGGTGAAGCAAGAAGTTCTGCTGAGAAATAATCGAATAGCATGCACTGCACTCCAGCAGTAAAAATGACTCCTTTCACGTTTGTGTATACATGTACTTGAATTTCAAGAGGCATTCAGAATGGTCTAGGCACTATTTACCCTTTTCCTCAACCATTAAGAAGTGAGCCAATTTCTGACCGGCTTTGTTCCCCATGGACAGATTTGGTTCAAGTGTTGTGTTCTGGGGTAATTTTACCTCCTGAATACGAATATGACATTCGCTCAGCCCGAAACCTCCTGGCGCCCGCGCCACACGCGCCGATGATTTGGGGTACTTTGGCGTCAGCACCTGTAGCGCGCGCGGCAGAAGGTTTCGTGTCTAGCGTTTGCGATATTCATGTTCAGGAGGTCAAAGTACGCCAGGGTACAAATTTCAGCCAAGAGGTTTCGGGCTGAATTCCGACAAGACAGAAAAAAGTCGGTCAAAAACTGGCCTGTTCTCGGAAGGTTGGGCAGTAAAGGTAAGTAGTGCCATAGTCTTTTGAAGACTGAGTCTATTGAACAGCTCACAGAGCGCTAACTAGTACTGACCCACTAGAATATTGCAAAACCTGTTTCTAAGCTCGTCATCAGTTATCCAGGAACGAGCATTCCATCTTATGTCGAATTGCCATCCCGAAAATAACACCACCGTCTAGAAAACAAGGCTGCAGACACTAACTTCAATGACTTGCTTGTTTGTTTGGGGAATATATGTGTTGTGAAATGGGAAACAAGACTCCCAAACGAGTGATGTGACGCTTATCTTCTACGAAAGGGGCGATGTTCCCGTAAGAGACCAGGTTGATGCATACAGTCTGTTACTCCGCCGCTAGGAGGGAGCGTTGGGTGCATTCTTTTATGTACCATTTATGAAGGACAAAGTGTGCATTCACCTACGAGAATCACCTTCGAGAACGGTTCTATCGATATGCGAGGTGAATATGGTTCCGTCTGAAATGGCGTGCCTCTTACTCCACCGAAAGTGCCCGAGGAAGGGCATGGACATTAGTTAATCTCAAACTGG